AAAGAAAAGGGAGCAACAAAGATCAGAGGATGAAGCTTGAGGGGCAATATTATGTTTTCTCCTACTTTGCCTTTGCAGTCTGGTTTACCATGACCTCTTCAGAGACCCTCTCAACTGGTCAAAAACTGGGGAGGCCCTTCCTGGGGGACCACTGGGAGCCTTGACAGCCATGTGCAGGAGGACAGATCCTGGGCCTGTCACCATTGCTCTTGATTCACTCAGTTGGCTTTTGCTTCACCTTCCCTGTACCACACTCTGCCAGAACCTTCATGCTCTAAGCCATCAGAACTCCTCCCTTGGTGAGACCTACTGCCCTTCATTGCTTTCCCTTATACATCTGCCCCCACCCCCAAGAAATGTGACCCATTTCCTTTGCAACATAAGGAGACACATCAATATCTCCAATTAACCTTTCTTGCATCTCTTGACATTTTTTTCTGGTTTTTGACTTCCCCATAGTGCCATCTACTATTCTTTGATTTTCCTCCAGGTTTTCCCATGACCAAGAGACAGGCTCTTACTGTGTTACCTAGAGTGGCCTCAAACTCCGAGGCTCAAGCAATCCTCCAGCATCAGCTGCCCGAGTACTTGGGACTATAGGTGTACACCACTGTGCCCAGCTTTCCAAGTACTTTTTTACTCATTTGTTTCATTCATACATTTGTTCAACAAATATTAAATACAGGTATAATCCTAGCTAATGTAAAAATAAAGACTAACTTTGTAGTTGGGTTCTTGCTTTCCAGGAGTTCAAAGTTCCCTAAAAGATAACAGAAAAATAAACAGCCAGTTATAAGATAGTCTGATATACAGGCTGGGCACATTGGCTCACACCTGTAAGCCTAGAACTCTGGGAGGCTGAGGTGGGTGGATTGCCTGAGCTCATGAGTTCGAGACTAGGCTGAGCCAGAGCGAGACCTTGTCTATAAAAATAGCTTTGTGTTGTGGTAGGCACCTGTAGTCCCAGTTACTTGGGAGGCTGAGGCGAGAAAATCCCTTGAGCCCAATAGTTTGAGGTTGCTATGAGCTGTGATGCTACGGTACTCTATCAAGGGCAACATAGACTATCTCAAATAAAAAAATAAAAAGCCCAGTGTAGTGGCTCACACCTGTAATCCCAGCACTGTAGGAGGGAGAATTGCTTGAGCTCGAGTTTGAGGCTTGTCTGAGTGAGAGTGAGACCCCAGCTCATGAAAACAACTGAAAAACCCAGCCAGGCGCTGCTGCAAGTGCCTGTAATCCCAGTGGCTTCAGAGGCTAAGGCAGCAAGATGTCCACAGCTTTGAGTCTGAGGTTGCAGTGAACTACGACACCACTGCACTCTGCTCAGGGTATAGGGTAGAACTCTGTCTCAAGAACAACACAAAAAAGATAGTCTGATACAGGCAACAGTGATACAGGGATGTGCACAACATACTTTGAGGAAACTGTTTTGAAGAGCAAAGGGTAGGCCAGGCAAGGTGGCTCACACATGTAATCCCAGCACTCTGGGAGGCCGAGGTGAGTAGATTGCTTGAGCTCACGAGTTCAAGACCAGTCTAAGCAAAAGTGAGACCCTGTTTCTACTTAAAATAGAAAAACTGAGGTAAGAGGATCACTTGAACCTGACTTTGAGGTTGCTATGAGCTATGACACACTCTACCCAGAGCAGAGTGAGACTCTGTCTTTAAAAAAAAAAAAAGCAAAGGGTTAGGTCAACAAGACAAATTTGGCCAAGCAAGGGCCCTGGGACAAACCCTGAAGTTCATTATGGGCACTCAAATGGCTTTGGAGTTAAAACACACCCACTTTTGTATGAAAGTACTTACCTCTCACTGTTTCAGTTTCCTCTGGAAATTGGGGCAGGTAGTATTAGGATAAACCACTAAATTGCTGTTTCTATAGGTCAAAAATTGTCAAATATCAGCAGTTTTCATATGGTTTGACCTAAAAATGCTGACCTTTTGTAAGGATTAAAATGTTATATTAAAGTGTTTAGTGTACTGCCTGACATTCTGCAAATGCTCCCAAAAAGAAGGAGGGAGTCAAAGGCACTGAGATACTGACAAGTTCCAAAAACTATAAGTTGCTCAATGTGTGAGATATGAGACTGGTATCTAAATGGATGCCAGATGCTAAAAGTGATCATCCTGAAGCCTGTGAGGAGCTGCTGAAGGATTGAAATCAGTGGTGCCTTGATCAGATTTACATTGGAGTGAGGTGTATTATTAAAGTGTGAGATAAAAGAGGCTCAGATCAGGGCAATGAGATTGGCAAAGGTAAATGAGGATTATGGTAGAGCTGTGATGGAATGTGGGCCCCTTCTTTTTTTCCTTTTCACTCTTTGTTCCTAGGCCACCACCCTGAGTACTCCTTACTGTTCTTTGTGCCCTACATTTCTTGTTCCTCTCCAGGTGACAGCTCAGTGCAGCAGGTACGTGTGCTGGGCTTACTACATGAAGAGCTTCATGGCCCAGGCCCCCTGGGAGCATTGAGCAGCCTTGCTCAGACTGAGGTGATCCTTGGGGGTACAGTGGGCCAGGCTTCAGCCTATATCCTCTGTCGGAGGCCTCAACAGCGCCCAACTCACCAGGTGAGAAGCAATGGGAAAGGAGGAGATTAGAGTGAGAGGGGGGTGGCATTATGGCAAGAACAATAAAAAAGCTAATGTGATTGAGTACTCTTCTGCATTTCTGTCACTTATCTCATTTAATCTTCACAGCTACCTTGTGAGGTAGATTGTTACATTATTACCATGTTGCAGACTGGGAAATCAGTGCAAAGAAGTTTACATAAGTCACTTCCCAAGGTTATAAAGTGAGTGGCAGAGACAGAATTTAAACGTAAGAATTGCCTGATTCAGAATCTGTGAAAAAGACTGTTTTCCAAGGCATGGAAAAGGATTTTCCAAAATGGGGTAGAGTTACTAGAAGGAAGAAGGAGCAAGTGCAGACTGGCACAATGGCTTACACTTGTAATCCCAGCCCTCTGGGAGGCCAAGGTGGGTGGGTCCCTTGAGCTCAGGAGGTCAAAACCAGCCTAAGCAAGACTGAGACCCTGTTTCTACTAAAAATAGAAAAACTAGCTGGGTGTGGTGGCAGGTGCCTGTAGTCCCAGCTACTTGGGAACTGAAGGCAGAAGGATCTGGTGAGCCCAGGAGTTTGAGGTTGCCATGAGCTGTGATGCTACAGCACTCTATCCAGGGTGACAGAGTGAGATTCTCTATCTCCTAAAAAAAAAAAAAAAAAAAAAAGATGAGGGCAAGGGCTGAAAGTTTACTGGGGGCTGAGGATATGGGGTTTTGAATTCTCTCTGGTTTGTTTTCAAGATGGAAAAAATCTTTTTAACTTTGTTCTTCTCCCCAGACTAATTGGTTCTCCATCCTTCCAGACTTCAGCCTGGATGTCCAAGAGGGACCCCCTGTAGAATCTCAGCCCCACCCAGATCCTCATACATCCCTGGTATTGAAGAATGCTAATGGAGCTTAGGGTCTGACAGAAAGGGAGAGAAAAATAACTGTAGAGGTTGCGGGTGGGGTCAGGGATTCCAAGGATGGGACAGAGTGGCAGTATCCTTTGTACCTACAGGTGGACCCCATGACTCATTTGACCTTTAACCTTCGACTGTCTAAGAAAGAGAGAGAAGCCAAAGATAGCCTGACTCTGCCCTTCCAGTTCAGCTCTGAAAAGTAAGGTTAGAACCTTGATGCCTGGATCCCTGAGTAAAGCCCAGTATCTGGGCCACAGAGAGCTACTGACAGCAGGTTATTGATTAACCTCTCAGACTTTATAAGGTCTGAAGTCCATTTCCAGAAACAAGTCCTAGGAGTACTTCTATCCACCCATACCCTCTCTAATGACAAAGGGCCTTTATGTCTCTTTCTTTCCATTAGACCCCTGGGTCCCAGCTTTGTGGTTATCCTCAGAGCAATCTGGGCCTGGCCTGAGCCAAAGACTAGACCCAGGGGAGAAAGAGACTGGGCCAAAAAAATAACAAGGATGCCTAAGAGGGGTTGCCTGAAGTTATCCAGGCACACCTGTTACCACCCTCACCAGTGCCAATTCTTCCCTCCTCAGACAGCAGGCACTACTGCGCCCTGGGCAAGGCCAGGCTACCAGCCACGTCTTCTATGAGCCAGATGCCTATGACGACCTAGACCAAGAAGACCCAGATGATGACCTAGATATTTGACTGGCCAGATTTAAGTAAACTAATTGGTGGGGGAGGAGGAAGACCTTGAGCCTAGAACTGTTCTTCTGTTTGTGTTGCCCTTACTCTGTTCTTGCCCCACCTTTGTTCCTTGTTGTCTATGGAGGCTCTGCCCTCTAACCCAGGAAGGAGCTTGAGACAGTACAAAGTAAGATGAGAGCATAGGGTAAGGTGAGAGTGGAACACCCCCTCATGCCTAATAAAATCTTTTTTATAACAAAAGAAACTCTTTGGTAGCTATTTAAATAAAGGGCAAGGGGGAGAGGGCAGCCAAACACCTTTGAGAGTCAGGGTATTGGGGCCTGAATAACAGTGAAAATGAAATGGGAAGCCAGGAACAGACTTGCACCCCACTGGTGCTTTATTAACTTTTTAAAACTAAAGTAGTTATACTTTAGGTTCTACACTCCCTGCAGTGATCTGAAAAGGAGGAAAACAGAGGCCCTGAAGGGAAAAAAGCCTGCTTTCCAAAACTTATTTTTTATTACTGTACAAAAAGCACATCCTCCCCTCTTTTTGTCTCCCCCCCCCCACCCAATCCCCTAGAGAACTGTACATGGTGTGCGGGGATGGAATGACCTGGAAGCCTTTGTCCCACACCCTGCCTACAGGCTGAGCACTGCCTACAGGTCCTTTCAGGCATCTGGGCACATCCACAGCCTGTCAGGCTGGGGCAAGGGGGTCCCAGCTCACACGTACTCCTTGGCAGAGTTGGGCTTAGGGTAGGAACGGGGTGCACGGTACCCAGCTTTGCTCTCACTCCGAGGACAGGAGCAAGAGAGCAGTGCACCTCCTAGGAGGACCAGAGCAGATCCTGCCCAGCCAATAAAGATAGCAGGGCCAAACTCATACCTGTGGAGAGAAGGGGTTGGGGTTAAACCTTGGCCTGTCTCAGCCCTCCTCCATATCCCAGGACCCCAGGCCTGTCCCTTAAGGAGGCAGGGCTCCCAAACTTACTTAATATTTGTGGGGATTAAGGGGTTATAGAAGTCTGTCACTATCTGATGGCCATACCAGGAGCAAGCTACCAAGGCAGCAAGACCTGGAAAGAAAATTGAGGATTAAGATTCTGAGAGGCTCCCAAACCTGCACCTTGCCCCACCCTCACTCCTCCCAGATAGGAGAATGGAGAGCCATGGGCCCACTTTGGACCTGTGGCTCACCTGCCACGATGAAAATGATGCCTCCACCCATGGCTATACGGGCCTTCTTCACTTTGTCGTCTCCCCCACAGCGCGTGCACTTCATGCCCATCGTGGCCACAAACATGGCCAGGAAGCCCAGCACCAGGGATACCACCATTAGGGCTCGAGTGGCCTGGAGGGCCGCTGCGGGGAAGGGAAAAGAACGCCCTCATTGCTGGAAATGCAGGCACCCCTCAGACGGCTTCAGCCTTCACCCCATCAGCGGCGCCCACTCACCCCTAGACCCTCTTCTGCCGACCACTGCGTTCTGGCCCGACCAAGGCCCGGACCAGACACGGCAGGGTTCCCGCCCATCCCGACACCGCGGCCTTCCTGCTCCCGCCCCGCCCTGCCCTCTGCTCAAGGAGCCGCCCGGGGCGCCAGGGTTTCGATGAAACTGCCCCGGGTAGGCGGAAGGGTGGAAGGGGCCAGCCAGCATAAGCAGTCAGTGGCCAAGGCCTCCGCGATGGCCGCACATGCCGCCCGCGTCCCAGCTCTGACCCGCTATCGAGGCCACGGGGTTTGTGGCTTCAACTAATCGGCCGATAAGATTAGAGGCCGCAGGCGGCGGCCCACGTCTGGCAAACCGCTCTACGGTTCTTCAGCCCTCGGCGTGCCCTTGCCCCGCTCCCCCTTTTGTCTGAGAGAAAAAGGCGGGAGATGTTGGAGGCCACTGACTGTTCAGGGCAGTGGGGGAGACAATGACCCCAACCTAGGACTAGGTTTCTCCAGGCTTCCCCGGCCGAGGAGCAGACCTGATTGGGGGCCGAAGAGTGCACGGTGCCAGAGTGCGACCTCACGTGCCGCAGCCAGACCCGGGCGGCTCCCCCTCAGGCCCACTACCAGGGCACGACTATTTCTGCTTCCTCCTACTCCGGGGCAACCCAGGACAGGGCGCCCCGCCGTGGGCCTCAGCCCTACCCCACACGCCACCAGCCAGCAGCCACCTCGGCCCTGGGCGCGTCCGCCCCGTCGGTCCCGCAGCCTTACCAGACAAGGCGAGCACTGAGTCGTACGTTTTGCAGCTCATCATGCCCGTGCTCTGCGTGACGCAGTCCATCCACAGTCCCTTGTACATGGCCTGGGCTGTAATGATATTGTCGCCCGCATACGAGCTCATCTGCCACTGCGGGATGGCGGTGCAAGCCACCAGGCCCACCCAACCCAGCAGAGCCATGGAAAAACCTAGCAACTGGAGGCCCGAATTGGCCATTTCCGCCCTCAGATAAAGACTAGGGGCGCCGGGCGGGCGACCCTACAGTAAAACAAAAAGGGCAGCCCCACAAAAGACAGTTTGGGATGGAGTTTTTAAGTCACCCAAAGATACAAAAGAGTTTCTGGCAAGGTGACTGCAAATCTTGTCACCTTTAATACACAGAAATTGGCACTCCCGGTGGAGCGATGGTCTCACAGCAGAGGGACTAGGCTACGTTGGCAGGAGTGGTTCCAGACAAAAGTGGTCCCTGAAAGCCAGGCGATTCCCTCCGGCGCTCTCGATGACCCTACCCAAACAAAAGGTAGAGGGGCTGTATGGGCACGGTCTTGGGTGCCAGCAAGCACCAGAGAGTATCCTGGGCTCTCAGACCGAGGTTGCGGTGCGCGGAAGAGGTTGCTCCGAGGTTAGCAAACAGGTGCCGGCGAACAGGTGCGGCGCACCGGAGTATATGTAGGGCGTCGGGGGCGCGGTCCCGCGGACAGCCGGAGCGCGGCAGAGGGGGCGGAACCGAAGGGGCGGCCGAGGGTGACCTGACGTCACTGAAGGGACACTCACCTGAACCGGAAGTCGTTGTCCCCACCCCTCCTTGCCCAGGTGAGGAGGAAGAAACCCGAGCTCCAGGATCACGCCCCTTCACTTGCAGGGCTTTGACCGCTGGTGCAGAGAAGGCAGTGGCTTCTCCAGAGTCCCAAGCTCAGAGTCAGCCCCTCAGGACTGGAATTGCCTCCGGCACAAGTTGCCCCTTCCCCACTCCCCTACAGGTGCACCTGGAACGCGGCTGAGCCTGAGATGGGGGACTACCGGCCAGCCTTGGCGCCGCCCTTTCCCCACCGGTTTCTACCCTAAGTGCTCTTTGTCCAGCCCTATTTTTGCCCCACGCTCCACTCTTCTCCATTTCCTTCTGTCTCCTACTCTGGCCGATCCCACCTTCTGAAGTCCTGGCCAAATCCCTGATCACGCCCTTCAGCAGCCTTCTTGGAGTTTCCTCCCCAAGACACCTCCCCAGCACTTTCCCTCTAAATGTCCTGGCCCTCCTGCTCTACGCTCCCATAGACACCAGTTTCTTGAACACCGCTCCCCACAGCCTCCTCCATTTCAATCCCTGACATAATTTAATGCCTGGGACCTTCACACTCTATCCCCCACCCTCAGTATCCCCTCCAGAATCAAGACTCCTTCTATCAGAAAGAAGAAACAAACTGAAGCCAGAAGCCAGAAGCTGTAGGAGGGTGGGGAGCAGGTTAAGGTCGAGGTCAGAGTCTTGACCACACCCATCCTTCCCCTCCCTTGGAGTCTTTTCAAACCTTTGTTCCTCCTTCATCACCCCTCCCCCAGCCACTCACCCGTTTCTCTTTTCCTCCTGAGCTTGGAAGGGACTACTGGTGTGAGTTTTGGGGCCCCTGACGGTTCTGTCCTCCCTAATATCTGGCTCTCCAGGGTGATCTTTGACGGGCCTTCAGCCTCTTGCCTCACGCTGGAATTCCTGTTCTGTCTTCCCAAGCCATTGCCCTATCCTTTCTCCCAAGCATCCTCTCCTTTCTCCCACTTTGTGGCTTCCCATTTCCCTCTCCCTTAGTTTACTTTTGTACCCTACCTCCAGCCCCCTTGGTGCTCAGCATGGTTGCTGCCTCCCCACCCTTTTCTTCTTGACCAGTTTCCTCCATCCTCCTCACACTTCTGGACTCTTGCACACTCTTCTTACTCTGGCTTTCTCTCATTTCCTTCTCTCCATTTTTTACCCCAACTCTCTCGCATTTCCCATTTCTGTTCTTCCCTTTCAAACATTTCTCTGTAAATCTTCATTTACTCAATAAACATATCAAAGGACCCTTCGAGCAAAACTAATTAATTAGCTACTTTTGTATAAAATGAGGACCTTAATGAACACTTTGTTATTCATTTTTATTGTTGTACTTTCGGATTAATGGCGAGTTATTTTTTGATTTGGGGGTTTTTTGTTTTTTGTTGTTTTTTTTTTTAAGAACTGGGGCTCGGCGCCTATAGCTCAACCGGCTAAGGCACCAGCCACGTACACCTAAGGTGGCAGGTTCGAATCCCCAGCCCGGACCCGCCAAAACAACAATGACGGCTGCAACCAAAAAATAGCCGGGCGTTGTTGCAGGCGCCTGTGGTCCCAGCTACTTGGGAGGCTGAGGCAGGAGACTCGCTTGAGCCCAGGAGTTGGAGGTTGCTGTGAGCTGTAATGCCACGGCACTCTACCCAGCGGGACAGCTTGAGGCTCTGTCTCAAAAAAAAAAGAAAAAAGTAAGAACTGGGGTCTCAGCTCGGCGCCTGTGGCTCAAGCGGCTAAGGCGCCAGCCACATACACCCAAGGTGGCGGGTTCGAATCCCCAGCCCGGGCCCGCCAAACAACAATGATGGCTGCAACCAAAAAATGGCCAGGCGTTGTGGCGGACACCTGTAGTCCCAGCTACTTGGGAGGCTGAGGCAGGAGACTCGCTTGAGCCCAGGAGTTGGAGGTTGCTGTGAGCGTGATGCCATGGCACTCTACCCAGGGGGATAGCTTGAGGCTCCGTCTCAAAAAAAAATAAAAAAAAAAAAGAACTGGGGTCCCAGACGGCACTGCTGTAGCTCAGTCAGCAAGGCCCCGGACACATACACTGAGGGTGGCAGGTTTGAACCTGGCCCAGGCCGGGTAAAACAACAATGTCAACTGCAACAAAAAAATAGCCTGGCATTGTGGTGGGCACCTGTAGTCCCAGCTACTTGGGAGGCTGAGGCACGAGAATCACTTAAGCCCAAAAGTTTGAGGTTGCTGTGAGCTGTGATGCCATAGCACTCTACCCAGGGTGACAGCTTGAAGATCTGCCTCAAAAAAAAAAATCTTTCAGTGGCATTTTTGTGTTCTTGCAAGTGACATAGTCTATACACCATGGCTTATCTGATTTTCTGTGCCTCAGCCACACTGGCTTTCTCTTTGTTCCTCAAAAATGCTGTGTTCCTTCCCACTGAAGTGCCTTCTCACACTCTATTCTGTATGCCTGGAAGCTCTGCTCCATTTTCCCTGCCCACTTTTCTCTACACAGCTAATCGACTCATCCTTCAACTAGGGCTCAAATATCACTTCTAGGAAGCCTGGCCTGACCAACACACCCAAGACTGAGTCAGATCATCTGCCCAACACTCTCAAAGCTACCAGTACTTTTCTTTTCTTTTTTTTTTCCGTAGAGACAGAGTTTCACTTTATCACCCTCAGTAGAGTGCATCACACAGCTCACAGCAACCTCCAACTCCTGGGCTTAGGCGATTCTCTTGCCTCAGCCTCCTGAGTAGCTGGGACTACAGACACCTGTCACAATGCCTGGCTTTTTATTTATTTATTTATTTATTTTTGGTGGTTTTTGGCCAGGGCTGGGTTTGAACCCACCACCTCTGGCATATGGGGCCGAGGCCCTACTCCTTTGAGCTACAGGTGCTCCCCCACCTGGCTATTTTTTTGTTGAAATTTGGCCAGGGCCGGGTTTGAATCCACCACCCTCAATATATGGGGCCAGTGCCCTACACACTGAGCCACCCACCACCCTCAATATATGGGGCCAGCGCCCTACACACTGAGCCACCCACCACCCTCAATATATGGGGCCAGCACCCTGCACACTGAG